TTTTTTTTTTTTTTTTTTTTTTTTCACATGCAAAAAGAAAAGAATTCTGTCCACAAACCCTCTATTGTGTCTTGAGTTCGTTAAAATCGCAAGCAAAATTTTAACTGTGCAGGGAGGATAAGGAGCTAAGGCACTGCACTGGTTTTGCATAAGTCATGGCATTGAATCCCGTTCAAGATTGAAATGTTTTCAGGCTTTCTGTTTACAGCTCTCTATCTTTTCGTAAACTGGGTACATGACGGCAGTGGTTTTTCAGGTAAAATTCATAAATTAACAAAGTGACCAGCTCCCATGCCTACGGGTAACCAAGAGAAAATGAGGTAACTTAAATGGCTCGACAGCCGGCTGGCTCAAATCCCACTCAAGCCTGCATTTTGTGGACATTTTTTTTTTTTTTTTTTTTTTCTTTTCGTTTTTTTGTTTTTTGACGAGTCTTAAATGTTCATGAAGATAGAGTAAGGATGAGGGATTCGTTGTTTAGATAATAGTAAATAGGGAAAGACGAAGATTAGATCACTGGAAACAGGGTGTAATGAAATTAAAGACAATAGAAGCAGGTATTATTTCATTGCATTTAATCTTGACTTAGCCAAACACTAAGTTCTAAACAACATCCAAGGTCCTACATCAACTGAATACGAGTATTCATTTACAGAGGACTTCTAGCTGGAATATGGTAACCGAGGCAGGAGTTACTTCATATTATAAACTACAAGGTGCCTTTTTTCACCCACGCAGTTTGCTGAAAGAAAGTTGCGATCTTTCATGGGTCAATATTTATTTTTTCATAAAGGGCGTAAAATTATAGAAATATCGCTGTATGTTCTATAGCTGTTCTAACAATGAAAACGATCTAGGGAGATTTTTATGTTACCAACAATAACCGTTGAGAAAGACCATTGATTGTTGGCGCGAAAGCAATTTTGTTTATTTACATGGTATTTGTTTGTTTGTTTGTTTGTCTGCTTTTTTAATTAAGTCTGTATTTTCATGGGATCTAAGTGTCTTGTTTTTTGCTATTTTGAAAGCTCGCCACGTGTGAAATAACTATTGAAATCGGTACCTAAACCTGTTAAACTGATCATAAACTGACTAATTCCAATTTGTAACTGGATTTACTTAACAAGTTGACCCGATTTCCTCTTTCGAGTCATTTCCATTCACGTAGTAACTATACAGTAAAAGTTGTTTTATATCTATTGTGGCGAAACACGTTCACGTTTGCAGGCGCGGAAAGTTATGGCGGGCTGACTTCAACTTGGATAAACAGAACGTCATCTACAAGGTAACGCCTTGAATAAAGTGTTTTGTGAGATATAGCACACCCACACTCTTCGTTCTCCTCTTTCACAGGTCTTGCAAAAGCTTTTGGTTTATTGTCTGGAATTAACAGGCCCGTAATGTTTTGCCGGTCAACTGGATCTTCCTGTTGATCAATCAATGTAAATTTCAATTTCATTTTGAAAGGCCAGGGTAATATAGCATCATATTCACCTTTCATTACAACAATGAACACTGACAGGCGATGGCTAAAAAACCAATCGTCGTTAGGATAAATACGTACTTTTAACTTGTATCCATAACTTTCTGTTCTATCTGTATAGAAAGGAACACTTTCTTTACTGATTTTTCCTCTGATCTTTGCTTGTCTCACAGCTACACTAAAGTTGTTAATTCTCCAGATAAATATTCGGCTCTCTAGTTTCTGTACAACTTTCCGTGTTGCTTCAAGTTTCCATCCTGTCTCATTTAACTTTACTTGCGTCTCATTTAACTTAATATGTGTATCATTTAATTTTGCGTCAGTGTCATTTAACTTAGCTTCTGTTTTGTTTAACTTAACCTCTGTGTTAGTTAATTTTACACAAGCTAAATCAAGATGAAATCTCGTGGCAGACTGAAGATGGGAATCCACCTGAACTCGCTGAACCTGCAAGTAAAGATGAAGTTTCTAAAGATCGTTGCAAACTTAGCAGTAACTTCTTCTCTCAAGTTAGCTAGCAATAAATGCTTGGTACTTATGCCGCGGACAAAGCCAAATTAGCATGTACGAATTCAGCGCTGCAGTAAAATCACGAAATATAGATGTTTCAATTGCTCGTAACGTATAACACAACGAAAAATCTAAAGCGCTCTATAACAGTCGCAAACTGTTTTCACTTACAGTTATCTCGGGAAGGGATTTCTTAACGAAACGTAAAAAGGCCGACGCAAAGAGATATCAGTCACTTTTCCGTAATCACCAAGTTCATGGATGATCTCAGCGCGGATCGAAGGAGAAATCACAAATCCTGTTGAATACAGTATATATGATTCTCCTTGGACTTGGCTGAGGTAACATGAACATACGATCAAGCAATAGTGAGCTACCACGACCCAGAATTTGTTAGCATTGTCGCGTACATTTGTACGCTTGACGGTTCTCCAAAAGCTGATGTACTCACCTTGGTTTCACATCCCATCTTTTCATAAGGGCAAGAGATTAAGGTTAGTGGACAATCATATTCAGTATGATTTCGATTCTGAAAGGAATAAGGAAAAAAAAAAAATCACTTGACGAACGAAGAAACAAGTCAACCAACATGGGATTAAAAAATCAAACACTGCTTAAAGTCTGCTGCCAAGGGCACATTCCTTTCCCTTTGTTTACCCCGTCCCAATCAGGGCTGCGGACTTAGGACCCAGAGAAGGTTGACAGAGACTTGAACGGCTACCAGAGAGACCTTTTATCAAGTAGTTAGATAACTTATCGGCAAGACGCTACAATGGATTAAAACATTCGTTAATTAGGCTACTTCCTCTCAAATGCTTAAGCCTGCGTGCGGGAAGTCTGCTTGAAACTTGATAAATGATCTCAAGACGACAAAATATAAGACTCATTAGGCTTATGGCCTGTCATCCAGTTTTTGAGACATTTACGATATTTTATTTAAATCGCCCTCGAGAAACTGTAGTGTATTTTGGCGTGAAAAAGAGTGTTCGTAAATCTATGATCATGAACTCGGACGAGAAAAGAAAAATTTATTTGAGAGCGTTGCCGTTGACGTGACACGAAACAGTTAGCGTCGTAGTTCGCTCCCCAAGGGAGCCATTCCGTTTACTATTAGCTTGTCATTACACATTGAGCCGGCGTCGATTGGCTCCAAAGTAATTTTCACGTGATCTCCAACTGATCTTTACAAACAAAGGGTAAGGTTTGTGCTGTTTGTTTCAGCAGACGTTCGTAGGGAATGAAGATTGCGTGACGAGCTTAAAGAGCATCTGGGTAAGAGGCTAAATATAACTACCACCTGACCAACCACAGAATAGATTGGGACTGCTCACTGTATCACACTTAGTACAAAACACATTTAGAAAAGCAGGAAACTGTTTGGCCAACTTCGAACAAACACCACTCAACCTTATTCAGAGAGAAAACTGAAATTCATTTTTCTACAAGGCGTCCTGATGAATTCTGGTGTCGTCGTCGTCATCATTGGTTAAGCTCCCCAGCAACATCGCGCAAGTGTTCTATCGGAAATATTGCAGCGACTGCACTACCGTGTGCGGGTTATGAAATCAAATAGTAGACTACAATATTTCCATATTCCACATACAATTGCATACAATCCTGGCCGTATAGGAATTCCGGCACTGTCTTCATCTAGTCGATCAAAACCTAGAAATGTTTCAACTAAAATGTCTCACACTGCAGGCCGAAAATTTGACAAGTAAGCTCGATTAATGCAGCTACGTCAGCCAAAAAGGCAAAATTGAAAGTCTTACCATTTCCCTTGGAATTGAAGCCCCGCAACTATTGGGACAAGTTACCGGAAACTTGCTGCACTTTCCAAAGTGATCCTGCAAGAGAAAAACCACTTACAACTTTTTAAGAAATCGCAATGTGTAGGAACTGTGCCTTTTTTTTTCTTATAGGGGTGGCCTGCTACTTCCCTTGTTAAATCCAGTTGAATTCCAGAGTACATGTACACACTAAAGCTTAGAAATGCAGCGAATGTAGCCTTCAGGTTTGATAGTCTTAATGATAAATTATGCAACCACAAAACAAGTGAACATGTACAATCTTAGCAAACTGACAAATCACAATCGATATGCAAAACGAACTGCTTTCTTTGGTTTGCAACAGCATAATTTATATAAGAGAAAAACGAATTTTACTAATTTCATTCAGGCAGTTGAGTAATTGATAGCTAAAAATAACATGCTACAAACCCTTTCGTCAAGTCTGACGTTGTTATGAAAATTGTAATTTTCTCATCAAATTAAATCATACGTTACCTGCATCTCACACTCTGGATGTGGCTCACTGCAGTGATCACATGTAAGGATTCTCCACGTGCACTTGATGGTCACGTGTTCCTCGAGATGTCTCCTTTGCATTGTCACGTGACAGTTTTCGTTGGTACAGTGGACAAGTTTTAAAAGACAGGATGCCAAGTGAACCTGTTACACAAAGAAATATGCGCATCAGCGGTTTCAGTATATTCTTAAATTAGAGCATTTAGTCAAGTCAGCACCGCTAAATAAATAAATAAGAATAACTTAAAGCGAAATAAAATAAATAAAAGTCAAATCTGAAGTGAAAGGTTTACCAACACCTCCAGGAAAATGCTGAACTGTGCACATAGTTCAGTGTTTTTTTGTTTTGTTTTTTTTTTCTATAAAGCCATTAAGTAGAAAAGGCTTTTTACCTCTTTGCTTCTCAGTTCACCAGTCCATTGACAACCATCGCTTGGACATTTGATGGCAAAAGAAAGAATCTTCCTTTCTGTTGCCTTGTCAGGAAAAACATCCTAAGCAACGAGTGAAAATAGCATATCATCCTGTACTCGAGCACTCAAGACTGGTAAAAGTGAGAACGGATGAATTGGAATTCTATATTGTTAAATTAGAGGGCAAATAACAAATCTTGCTTCATTCGAACTATTAAGCTAGAAAACCAGCTGGGGTAGGATACATGCTATTTTGAAACAATGAAAATATCCCAGAATCTGGCAAAGGTATGCATTACTGTTTAATCGTTTTCCATTTCTACAACCTCAGACTCATAATTTTAAGATGCTCGATGCTGTTCCCAATTTCAACTGGAAAATATTTACACGCTAACATAAAGAGATACCAAGAAATAGCAAAAGTCCATAACAGACATGCCCTCCTCCGATCCAGCGTCACAGAATTCTTCAAGTTCAACGTAAGTTGATTATTTTGTATCCTCTAATCGTGGGCACTGAACTTCTGTAAAACAAGATTAATTATTTACCCGGTCTCGGTCCAGACCCTCCCTGTCGGCGGGACAAGTTATAGGTTTTTCTTGAGCTCCTTGCCTGTTCAAAGGAGTTAATAAAAAGAAAACGAGTTAAATGCTTTCCTTTTTTAGCGCAGAAAAAGCCTGGTGAATTCAGTTAATATATAAAATCGGTCTATACTAACTCACAACCTTAGTGGAAGAACTACTGATTATTTATAGCTGTGTAGTGTTTTTAAGTAAAATAGCGACTGTTTCGTCGTGATGTTGAATTATTCACACTGGTTATTATTAGGATGCTTGCAGCAGAAAGAAACAAATACTGAATAAGTAGATTGGTATTGATTGTGTTCCTAAAACTACGTCCAAAAAATAAAGCCTATGTCCCAATCTCGTGAACACTTCTTTACAAAAATGCGTCTTTTAGGAGTATTGTTTGAGACTAGACGAGTCTTTTTAGGGAATTAAATAGATTTAATAGAAGAAAGTCAAGCTTAATTTAAACGCTTCATTCCTGATGAATTGCTGTTATGATAGCTGAGGAATCATTAGAATTCAAACAGCTTCCGCTTTCGGTTATAATTGTGTCAAGTTGTTTTAGTTAATGAAATATTTCAGTTGATATCCCATATATATCTTTCAACTGAATAGCCTGCAACGCTTCCGGTTGATAAAAATCGGCCCAGGAAACTTGAACATATCAAGCTAAATTGTAAAGGCAAACATACTTACCGCCGTACGCGCACTCAATTGCCAGTGATAAGAGTTTAAACAAGCGGTTGAGAAACGCAGGACAGAATCAAAAGCCACATCTGTGTTTCCGCCTACATTTGTCAGTCGTTATATTTACTGTATCTGGATCGTCCTTAAAATTCTGTTAACACCACTAGTCAAAACTAGGCCTAACGAAAGCCATTCAGATGTTTAAAAAGTACAATCAAATCGTAGCTGGAAGTCGCACCTTCTAAAATGTTCCTCGAGGCATTCTTTACAAAACCTGTGACCGCATCTCGTTTGAAATGGTTCCTTGAGTGGCAAATGACATATTAAACAGAGATTTTCATCTTCAACTGCATTCACAAAGTCCTCGTCATAACCTGAAGGTAACCGATTTCTGTGAACGCTAGTACCCGCCATGTTGTAAATTATCACTTGAAAGAGAAAGCTTCCTGGGGTCAAACTAAACCCTCACCTCAAGTCTCATATTTAGTGTCGCTGGGATTGTGTGACCGTCTCACACAAGCTGCTACTCTTTGAAGTACTGTAAATATGTTAGAAAACTAAAACGAGACAAATGAAACCGTCCCATCCCTTTCTCTTGACGAAGAAAGGCCAAACCTCCATACTTTGCAACCACAATTACTTACACGTACGATGTAATTTATTCAATTAGTCTCTGTTAGTATAAAACTTGTGATGATGAGCTTACAAGGTTCGCGCCACTTTTTCGTTCAATCAGAAGTAAAACCAAAACCAAGCATGACTTGCTCGTACGTTTTCCCGCGCTTCGCATTCACTATACGTTTCTTCACTCCCAGTTTTGATTGGTTTATTGGATTGTGTCCTTTGTGATTTGCCAGAGTGATTAGAGTGAGTTTCAGAGTGAGAAAATGTCGGATCCAAGCCATCTTCCCGGTTCGCTGATTGATTTCGCTGCTTGATTTGTACTCAGTGGTTTAAAAGCACTCTAAAAATATTATGGTGGAACCAAGTTCTACGATCACTCGATCATTACGAACATCCATTAAATGTAATAATACGAACAGTTTTGTTTTTCGAAACAGAAAGCCCATGTTTTCCTTTACATTGCAAGGTTGTGCTCGCTTAATACAGTCATAAGTTAATACGGATAATGAAATTTCTTTTGAAATACTGACAATTTAGTTTCCGAATGACCGGGTTTCATGATCAGTGTAATTAATAGCTGAACAAGAAAATAACTTTTAAGAGGCTGAATTATAAAAACCGTGTACTTCCACAGTTTACAAATATATAATTCACTTCTTACTTTTTACATCCGCGTCAGAGAGATGAATATGTCAAATTTGTAAAGATAATCCGTGAAAGAATCAAATGAAGCAATGCACAGTATTTGCGAGTGCATCAATAACAGAAAGGTGATACCACTATCGGGTAGATAGTGTTATCCCCGTTTTGAACAACTGGAACCCGCAAGAACGCTTTCGGGGTGTATAGTGATAGTGAAAAGTGATTGTGTGATCCCCATGCCATGTGCAGCGATTGGGCGGAGGTGTGCTTAGCCCTAAACAATGTTTACATTGTCGCCCATAAAAGGAAAGACAAGCATCCCGTCATGATCAAAGCCTTATATAACACCTGTATATACTAGTTTACCTGAATGGTACAAAATGCTGTCGAAGGGAAGGAGGATGTAAGGCGTGTCAATGCAGAGCAGTGTTGTTCCCATACAGAACTCCTCATCGTCGGTAACAGTAACAAACTGGTTAATTTAACTTAACGGATTACAGCACTCAGCAGCAGTAGGCTTCACTACATTTTTCATTGCTCTCTTACGGAGCAAACTCACGCTCTTATACCAGTACATCCGGAATTTCCAGAAACTTCTCTAAAGAATATTGATTAACTAGCATTGTTGCAAGGTTTCTAAATGCGAATATTACCTGAGAAATAGAACATTCCTGAAGGTTTTAGGCCACGGCTGAATAACTTCCACTTCGCGATTTTAACAACAACAAGCCGTAATTTTTGCGAAGGATTGGGATGCAGTGTATTCTTCCCCCGTGTCATTTCCAAAATGTTGACTACAGTTGTCCAGATAAAAAATGTAAACAGTACCGCTACAATCTGTGATTTTTTTTATTTTTAAACTTCAACAGATCGCAAATAACACTTGATGAGAGGGAACTCTGCTTCAACTATAAAACAGATGCCTGGTTAAAAATCAAAATTTTGCTCGCTGTTGTATCAATTGACACAGTTAAACATCATCAGTAGCTTAAGCTTTTTCACGAGTGATTACAACTGGTTTACCTCTACACTTCTGGTTTTGCGAGCTTCAACACTTACGGTAACCTAACCGGATAAAATTTTGAACTGACTTGGTTCTCTATCACGGCGAGCGCCTTTGAATTACAATAACTTCTTCGTTTCTGTAACTTTCCAAATGACTCCTGTTAGTATTAGATGAGACTCCACAAGAGTGATGTGTTGGATATTCTAGACTGATGTTATTACTATTATATTTATATTTAATTTTTTTTTTCTTTTTCTGTGGTTTGGGTGGCCATTTGTAAGGGAACTTGTTCCTGTTTTTGGCTTTCCCCCTCAGCTTTATATATATATGAATATGTATGTATTTCTGTTGAGAAAAATGATTAAAGCAAAATAACCACAATTCCTTGCGCCTTTGATCTTACCGCTACCACAATTCCTTCCGTTTCGAAAAAACGTGTTCACGGTCCCTATAATGTGACCTTTTCCCGATTAGAGAGCTGCCTCGTTTGTTCGCTTTAGGCTCACTCACTGCGGCAACAATTAATGTTCCGTTACAAGCAGAAAAGATTGAAATAATTTATTTCCTTCTTTTCATTCATTCATTCATTCATTCAAAAACGTTTTTTACACTCACATATACAAGCTATGCTCTCACTTCATGTATTCGGCAATATGGAGAAGTAATGTTCACTTATTATTAGAGGTGCTCAGAATTGTTTTGCATTCATAACTGACATAAACCATGCGTCACATTGCGGAGCTACCATTTACCCAAATGCAATTTTCAATGTAAGGTTAAAACCTAAGCCTTTTATTTTAAAGAGGTGAGTTTGAATAATCCTCCCATCTCCCTGTACTGGGGTCTGGTGGAATCTAAAAATGCCTTCAAGACTTTATTTCCCGTTTTTTTTCTTTCTTTCCTCTTCTTTTTTGTTTTTGTTTTTTTTTTGGACGAGTCTTAACTTAGATTTTATGAAGATAGCGTAAGGATGAGGGATTAGTTATTTACGTAATGGTAAATAGGGAAACAGGGAGTAACGAAATTAAAGACAATAGAAACAGGTATCATTTCATCGCATTTAATCTTAGCTTAGCCAAACACTAAGTGCCAAACTACATCCAAGATCGCACATCGACTAAATACAAGTACCAATTTACAGCCTACTTCTATGATCTAGTTGGAATGTGGTCAACCGGGGCAGGAGTTATTTCATATTATGGACTGCAGGGAGAGACGTCGCTGGAACGGCTGCCTTTTTCACCTACGTAGTTTGTTAAACGATAATGACGATTTATTAATATTAATTCTTTCAAAGAGGGCGTATAATACATAGATAACTCCCCGTGTGTTGGTTTTCAATGCAATTAAGAAACATTTCTAACGATGAAAACGATTTAGGGAGATTTTCTCCGATTCCAAAAATAACCATTGAGAAAGGCTATTGATTGTCAGGGCGATATTGCTTCACTAGAAAACAATTTTGTTTATTTACATGCTATTTGTTTGTATTTTAATGAATTCTGCATTTTTATTGGATCTATGTCTTATTTATTTATTTATTTATTTTTTTTCCATTTTGATAGCTCGCCACGCATGAAATATCTTTTTGAAATCGGTGCACAAACTTGCTTAACTGATCGTAAACTGACTAAACTCAGTGTAACTGGATTCACCTAACATATCAGGGACTTTAAGATATGGTACGGCTAGGCTGTGGTACGGCGGCA